TCAGAGGGAGAAGCAGACTCCCTGCTGAGCAGGGAGCCCGATGCGGTACTCGATCCCAGGACTCCAGGATCATGACCTGAGCCAAAGGCAGTCGCTTAACCAACTGAGCCACCCAGGCGCCCCTAAATCACCAAATTCTTTACCAAGGCTTCCAGGCCCTGCTCAAGTTTAACCCTACACCCTCAAACCTCATCACGTATTATCAGTCCTCTCCCCTGTTCACGCTGCTCCTGACACACTGGCCTTTTTCCCTAGCCCTCAAACAAATCAAGCTCATTCCTTTCTTAGGGCCTCTGCACATCCTCTCCAGTCTGGGTGGGAATGCCTTGGCACCCAAATCTTTGCACAGCTGATTCCTTAGTAATAATCTAAGTTCAAAACTCTCCTCTTTAGAAATACCATTTCTCATCACATCATCTAAAATGGTACCCTTTAGTCCATTTCTGTATCATCACCAAGTTTTGTCTGACTTGGATTAAATTATCTTGTCCTTTTTAACTTTTTTGTCTTTGCCTCACTTCTGAATGTTAAGTTCCATGAGAACAAGGATCTTGCCTGTTATGTTCACTGGTGTCTCCAGCATGTGGAACACTACTCAACACACAGAAGCCACTCAATAACATAAGCTTAATAAAGGAATGTTTAAAAATTAATTCATCTTCAAAACTTACTCCTATTAATGATTCTGTTTTGGTAAATGCTAACTACTACTCTCCCTATTAACTACACTCAAAACATTAAAACGTCAACTTTTAGGCTAAAGTTCTCCTTTACCCATTAATTACAACCATATGATAACCAAGTTAAAAGGTACATAAAAGCATAATAGCTCTTGCATTCATCTTATCTTTCTGTTGCCAGAACCATCACCCTGGTCCAGGTCCTTATTACTTCATGCCTCTAATAGCCTACATGGGACCCACACCTCCTATCTCATCCTTCAAACTGTTGCCAGAAAATTTTAAAATGCTGTTCTGATCATATCACTTCCATGCTCACTAACTTTCGGTCATTCCCCATCAGACAAAGTCTAGCATTCAACTCCACCACAAAGACCTAACTCCTGGCTCGCAGACTTCCTCCTTATGGCCAAATCCAATGTGTATTTTCTCACTGCTGAATGTGACACAATCAACCATTCTGTTTTTCCTAAAACTTGACTGAATGAGCTATAACTCCTTACATTCTGAGAAACCCCGTCCTCTCTGTTAGCCATTATCAGCATTTAAATCTAAGCTTGTATCACATTTTTAGTTTTTTGAAAGATTTTATTTTTAAGTCATCTCTACACCCAAAATGGAACTCAAACTCACAACCTCGAGATCAAGAGTCACATGCCCCACTGACTGAGCCTGCCAGAAGCCCCTGTGTCATATTTTTAAAAGATTCATCTACACTGGTTGCCTTTATTCCACATTTCCCATTCTTTCCTCAAACTACTAAAATTGTATGTCCAACCCATCACTCTACTAAAATCATGACAGAATTAACAATTCGTCTAGGAATCAGACCAGTTATCCCACTCTCCTAAACTAGTTCCTTCTCATTGCCCAAGCTGAAAACTTGAAGCCATTCTTAACTGCCCTCCATCTCCTTTTTACCCCCACAATAGCAGCTATCATTTTATACTTAGCTACTGGATGTCTTACATCTGTTATTTTACCTATTCCTCACATCCCTATGGATTGAGTACTGCCGTCCCTATTTTAAGTTAAGAAAACTAAAGTTCTGGGGGAGCCTGGGTGGCTCAGTCGGTTGGGCGTCTGCCCTCGGCTCAGGTTGTGATCCCAGAGTCCTGGGATCAATCCTAACGTTGGGCTCCCTGCTCAGTGGGGAGCCTGCTTCTCCCACCCCCTCTGCCCATTCCCCTGTTTGTGCTCTCTCTATTGCTCACTCTCTCAAATAAAAACTTAAAAAAAAAAAAAAGAAAAGAAAACTAAAGTTCCGAGAGGTACATAAAACACCCAAGGTCACAAAATAGCTAAGTGACAGAACTGGGATTTGAATAGGTCTAGCTAACTCCAGAAGCTATTCTCTTTCCACTGCATGTATTACTTATATTGATCAGTAGTCCTTGTTGAGTATATCTCTTCAAAGTATCTCAAATTTGTCCATTTTCTCCATCCTTATTGCCTATACATTAGCACAGGTCCTTTTCACCATTATGCCAAGTCTGCCCTTTCCAATCTCATAATGCAGATACAAATCTGGTTCCCCCAAAGTCAGTAAGTCTTCAAAGCATTCACAGTAAAGTCAACATTTCTTGGCACAGGATGTAAAAAGCTCTTCATAATCTAGCTTTTGCTTACTTTTATAGCTTCATCTCAGTAATCCTCCTCCATCCCCACTCTCAACACCAGCTACACTGTACTCCTACTTCCTCTAATGTTCCATGCTTGTCTCTGGGTCTTTGACTAATGTAGCCAGTATCCAACATATTTTCCCATTCTAAATCTCCGTCTCTGTTGGTCTGACAAAAGCCAATTCATCTTACAGAACTCAGTTCATGTGTCATTCCCTTTGGAAAGTCTTCCTGAAAGGTGTCTTTCTGAATCTAGGTCAGAAAACTCTTCTTTCTTTTCCCATAGACATCTTGTGCATAATTTTATTATATCAACGGACAAACTACATAATGAACACATACTGTAAATGCTTGTTTTGTCTTTCCAAAAGATCATATACTCTTGTCTCTGAGGG